ACAACCCATGATGTTGCCCCACAATACATGGGAACAGTCTTCAAAATATAGGTACCACGGAAGATTGTTTGGAGTGATGCCACAGTAGTACCACTCTTGGTTCTTTAAAGAACCTTTCATTGGACAGTTCTTTAAAGAACCATTTTTGTAAATGAGATGTGCAAGTGTGAAGAACCTTATTAATGTGGACAGAATCTGTAATGTAAAGGTTCTTCAGGAAACCAAGATTGGTTCTTGCATGGCATCGCTTCAAAAAGAAGGTTCTTTTTTTAAAGAACCTTGTAATGGATGATTCTTTTTAAAATACATGTGCAAGTGTGAATAAGGAAAAGAACCTGTGATCTAAAAGTTCTTTAAAACTCAAGATTGATTCTTCTGTGGGATCACTCCGTAGAACCAGTTTTGTTCTTTTTTAGACTTCTTCAGTGGACAGTTCTTCAGAGAACCATTTTTGTAAATGGCATGTGCAAATGTAAAGAACCTTTTTACAGTGGAAAGAACCTGTAATGTAAAAGTTCTTTGAAAACTAAAGATTGATTTTTCTTTGGTATCGCTCCAAAAAATGAATCTTGTAATGACTAAAAAAAAAGAAACACTTTAAAGTGGAAAGAACACTTAATGTCAAGGTTCCAACCAGTCAACCTTTTCATGCTCCACCACAAATCTGTTCATTCACATCAACTATTGCTAGGTTGGACAAGCTTTACAGAAGGATCCAAAAATCCCATTCAACCTAATGAGAAATTGTAGCTCACTTTATTTCGTCACTTAAATATATGTCAGTATTCAACATACTCAGTGTTGTTACCATGGCCGCTTTGTTATACTATGAAATCCTTGCAGTTTGAAAGAAGTTGCAGTTTTGCTCAAGCTTTTTTAGATATGTGGAGTAGTTCTGGATTTGTAAGGTCCCACTATGCTGTCACATTGTGACCTCATGCTTTATTGGATGTTTGTACAGCTGTTTTAGTGTGTAATCAATCTGAACATCTTCACAGCTCATATTAAAGGTCTCTAATGCTCTTTGTGCTGTCTAGAGTGCCAATGGTCATCTACCTGGCCAAAAAATGGGTAAAACCAAAAAGATGATGCCCAGTAAGATGGTTAAACACACAGGATTCCAGAAATTAATAAAGACTGCTGTGCTGTTATGTAAAGAGCCATCAGGGAAGTTTGTTTTTTTCAAATACAGAGATCTCCGAGATGTATAACCACCAACACATTACTGTAGGACACAACATGTGTGCACATGTTTTGATCATGTGTGCCATAGTGTTTTTGTCTCAATAGGATATTGTGATATTGTAAACTGTGATGGAAGGTTAGTTAATTATCGTGATATTTTGAGATATTTTTATCTCACCACGTGCTAAGAGTCACTATATACCAGAGTTTCCAGTTTAAGATGCTTTGCTACCATGCAGTACTCTGTTGTAGAAGCTAATCAAATCTAAGTTGAACACATCAGTGAACATGCTGCCATGCTTATGTTGATCACATGACAAAAAAATCTGGTCTACTCTAACAGCCTGCCACACAAATAAAATAAATATAATTTGAAATTAGTATCACACTCTAAATTTAGCTTTTTTTGACAAAGGCTGAGTTATGCGTAGTGGTGGGTGATATGGCAAAAATATGTTATCACAGCAATTTTCATGATTCATGATATGTCACAATATTTATTCATTTTTTGACGTTTGAAACATTTGAAACTTGTAAAAAAAAACTACAAACATTACACACCATCGAGAACTACAGCTTATTTTTGAACCTACTGCGCTGCACTAAATCCAGTTAAACAAGACTAATTATGCTCTCTTTGTAATAAAACATGCAGTTGGTCAGTGTTTTAGAAGTATTGACAATATCTGTGATATGTTCAGAAAAGCATATTGTGACATAAATGATCACAATAACGGTAAATATTGTCATACTACCCACTCCTAGTTGTGCATCACAATTTTTCATTAGGTTGAATGGGATTTTAGCAAACATTGCCAGCCACCTAGCAGGAAAGAACACATTTGTGGGCGGAGCATGCACAAGCCAATTAAAGATTTTTCCTAGAACTGTTTATCCAAGCTGAGAACCATTTAGGAACCTTTATAGCGCAGCATTCCCAAAACTGGATGTTGTTTCATTAGAAGCTTTAGCTCTATTACATGTAATGGGTTCTTGCTAATTGCTTTGAATCCTTTTGTCGTTGTCGAAACCGCTCCTGGTTGAGCCTCAGCACCATAAGCCTCTTCTGAAAGTGCAGAGAATTGTGTCACGTTCCTACGTGCCGTGCATGTGTGCTGGTGGGCCGGGGCCGCTGATTGTAGGGCAGTAATAATTAAGGGCTCTATAGCAGGAATAAAGGTTACGGCTGAGCCGGGCGCAGGCTGCTGCTCGTATATGCGCCGCACGCGCCTGCAGTGTGTCTGGGTGTGTGGCTGGAATTCATATGAAAGGGCTGGTGGAGGGATGAGGAGGAGGGGGTCGGTGGGGGGTGGCAAGTCATTGATATGTACAGCATGACTCAGATAAACAGACCATACTGCCAGGAAATTTCAGCGGCATTAAACACATTCGATTTAAAGCAAATATTTAGAACCAAATAAAAGGGGGGCCAGATTAAAGGGAAACGGACATGTCGGATTCGGACTCAGTGATGTTTTCGTAACGATTTCTCCTGAGCTGTAGCCACTCCATCGAAATGGACTGTACATATTTGTCCAGGCTCTCTGTGTACCCGCTCTGAAGCCTGTGTTTAATTTTTGATAAATCTTAGCCTGTAAGTGTTTTCTCTCAAACCATCAGGTCACTCTGTCTGGATGGTAAATAGTTTATTAGGCTGCGGAGGTAGTCTTGAAGGGACGTGTGTCTATGCCTCATGTTTGCCGATGTATGTTTACGCTAGTTAGCTTCATGTCAGCTTATTAAAATGTGCTTTTTGTTGAACACCCTGAGTCAAATGACGTTTTGTTTTCTAAGTGAAAACAAGTTAGACAAAAATAAAAATATTATAAAAAGTTAAAATATTTGGAATAAAGCATCAAAATATAAAATATATTGCAAAAGCATAAAATAAAAAATGTGCCATAACTTCTGCACAGGCAACATTATGTTTCATTTCTTCCCCAGTGTGTTAAATTAAGCAAATAATCAGGTATTTGAAAGTAATTATGCAAGAAATAAACAGTAATTGTGTATTAATTGTGTATAGTGTATTAAAATGCGCAGTGGTGTGTGTGCAGAGGATGTGTTAACAAGACCAGGGGTCGTCAAACTTTTGCATACAGCTGTATGAGAACAGGAAACGATCAAAATTGTTCAGGTGTTTCAGCTTTGTGATCTCTGACAGCTCATACAAACTCCATAAGGAGAAACATCACACTGTTGTGGCTGCTTTTATTAGACTTCAAAGTATTCTTCGTTTTGTCTACAGAGCACCTTCCTCCCTTGAGACATCAGTGCATTTCACTCTGCATTTGCAGCAAGAAGCCAATTACCCAGAGATCTACTGTAAACATACTAAATTACAAGGAAATTTGAGTCTCAATTTGCTGTTCTGCTGATTACGGCAAGCGTTGACGCTCCATTTCCTACGGTTTAAACGGCTCTAGTATCAGGCTGAAACCACTTCATGGAAAAGTCATTTGTAAATGTTGTCGTTTGTGGTGAACTCATTAACCACAATGCAGTTTCGTTCGATTTCACTTCTATGTTACCTGTTAGCTTTTTTTCTCAGAGGCCTCAGCGTGATCCTGTTTGCAGCAGTGTTTTCAGAAACTCTTTAGCTGAAGGCCTCGACTTAAGCCCTCATAAAACGTTTATGTACATGACAAATCATATATATGGATCATTCGAAGCGCATTTCGGACTTTTAACTGACTTGACGTTTAGACTAAAATCATTTTGCTTAGAGAGACCACATACCTTAATAACATTTATTAAAATAAATAATTGAACATTCCATTTTGGTGCTATTAATACAACAAGAATGCCTCCAAAACTTTACAAAATGTTGGTAGTAACTGGAAGTCAAAATTTTCGCTAATTACTGAGAAGAACTCAAAAATGCTAGCCAGTACATGACTAACAACCAGCTTTAAACAGTTGTACACACACAAAATCATAATATATTTCATTAAAACACAATAAAATTTACCTGATTGCAGAAAATCAGTAGTTTCAGTAGTGATGATTCGGAATGTTGCACAGTGATTTTCAGGCTTTGGGACACGTTTACTTAAAATCAATGTGTTCTGAATGCTCGCCTTGTGGCCATGAGGGACAGGGATGCAGCCTCACTTCCTGCTCTAAAGTGCAGGGGTGTGGCTAAAATAAGGCTCCGCCTATGGACTAAAACTCTTTGTGTATCAGTAGTGATGTGAAAATGTAGGACAGTATTTTTTGAATGAAGTTTTTAATTTAAAAATGGTAAATCTAAATCTTTCAACTCCACTTTAAAATAAATTTAAAAAATCTTTAATAATAAAAAAAAAATACAAAAAAGTGAGTATTATTTTCACAAATGTAGGGGTTAGGGTTTGGGACAGACACCTCCCAGTAGAAAGCATCCTATGAAATGATGATTTTGTATATATTTAGCTTATTATTATCTCAATTAATGTCTTGGGTTTAAATAGATCGTAACATCATCTTTATGAATGTCTAAGGTCTGAATACGTCATATTTTTAAAAGACTGTATTTTTACTGTTTGAACAAATTCTGTAAAACGGTATATCTAGGCCTATAGCCTAGATGACAGTGTAGATGACGGTCACAGGCAGCGCTAGGCCACCGATCATTAACATAATTCATAAACGCCTGTACCGGCTTCATGAGTTCTGCATTAGCTTCGAATGTTTTATGAAGCTCTTAAGTAGAGCCCTTCAAGTAAAGCGCTTGCCTAGTGCAAGAGTCCACTGTAATATTAACACAGTCACTCTAATGTACGTTTGCTGTTTACAGTGTAGTTTCTGAACATCATACTTTGTTTTTTCCTCAGGAGGCTGCATAGTGACATGAAGACCTTTGGCTGTGACTTCTGTGGAAAGCACTTCTTGGACAGTTTACGGCTGAGGATGCACATGCTGTCTCACTCAGGTACGTCGCTGAGACCTACACAGTATTACAGTGATAGACTGGTTAAACATAACACTGGGCAGTATTGATACATTTCAGCAGCACAACATGTTGCAAATATATCACAGTATCAGATAATATTTAAGTTTGCATTAATAAAGGTAAAGTACCTGTGCTGGTGCTGTATGCTAATGGTAAAGAAGTGTTATATCTGGGGAAAAAAATATGTTTTCTTAGGGACTATTTTGTCTCACAATGCCCTGCATGTATCCCTCCACCATGAATGGATTTGTGTGAAAAAAAAAGGGCACTAAATCATGCTCATGTTGAGCTGCAAAGAGAAGAAGTGTATGCAAAGATAGAGGCTAGTTCTGAACCTCAAAGCAGCCTAACATTGTTTTTAAACTTTAAAAAATAATATAATGTAATAATAATGTTTAATCAACCATTATATCTCCCGCTGTGTGCTTTCCAGTGTTAAGTCTCATTGTGTGACTGTGACACAATCAGTAACCGTGCAGCATATCAACAGTCTGATTGGTTGCCACATAGTTAATTTGCATAAAATTTATCCAGAATGAGAGAGCAAAGATATGTTTCAGCTATATCTATATATTGTCGTGTGTCGCCTCACTGAAGTACAGTATGCCACATACTGTTTGATGAAGTAGTGGTCTGCACGGGACTGTTTTTTCAGACCTGCTCCCGCCCGCTTCCGCAAGATGTAATCCTGCTCCCACAGATAATCGGAATCATTTGTCCCGCTTCCGCCTGCAACTGAAAAGTTTTGGCCCGCTCCCGTCCGCATAGTTCGTAACATTCAACATTTGACGTAGTCTATTTACAAATGCATTGATATCTGCTAAAATAACACGGTGGTCATGGTCATCAGGCTCTCTGTGGAGTAACTTCACCAAACGCCATTTATTCCCAGCAAACACAAAGCAGGAATTAAATCACAGAGTGGTTATTTTTGGTGTTTTGCTGGGCAGCTGTGGCCGTCGGACTGAAGGCTCCACTATACCTGTAATCTACAAGAATTTGCGTGTTGTTCACCTAATCGGTTGTATCGTAGCTCTTTAGAATGACTTAATTCATTTTGAATCATTTTACTGTTATCATTTTATATTGTTTATACATGATTTAGTGATCGTTCTACTTTAGACTACTCATTAATTTGCGGAATGTCTCTTCATACGTCTTTGTCGAGCTCTCGCCTGCTGAGGGCTGCTTACCTGCCCACTCCTGCGCACAACACTGAAAATTAGACATGCGTCTCAAGATGTTGTGGAATCCCACGGGACTGCATACCTCTAATGTAAAGTATCAAAAAAATTCAAATGGAAAAATTATTTAGAACGATATCATCGTTCACGTCACATATGTACTGTTTAACATTTCAGCACCCAAACTTAAAACACCTTCCAGTGTCCCAGTCTGTCAGGACACTTTGTAGCGCAGCCTTTGGTTTTCTCTTTTGGTGCAAACAGTGAAGTATTTACTCGAGATAGGAGACTGTCTGCCCTTTGGTCGAGTCTGGTTGGGGTCAGGTATTACTGAGTCACTATTAGGTTATTCCCATGCTCATTCTCCTCTAGCCACTACGAACCTCCACTGTTTAACACTGTGAAGCTGGCAAGGCTCCAGTCTGGGCAGCTGGCCATGTTATTAGGTACAGTATGTACAGTGAAGGCTTGCCAGCTACCTTCCTTAAGTGAATAAGTGTTATGACAGGAACACACAACAGGGTGGGGACAGCCTGAGCCAGTAGATGCACACATCCATGTTTACAGTCACCCCTTACAAGTCGAGAGTTGTTGCTTTCGTTTTGCTCTAATATTCAAATGTTATTGTGTAATAAAATAGTACAAGCGTTGTTTTATAATAAGTTACATTGACATTTGATTTACGAGTATCAACATCTGTATCAACAAATTTATATCTGTACTTCTGACTTTTTTTCCATTTGTTTTAATGTCAGCAGATCAGTTATAGACGAGAATAATTCATATCCAATTACACCATGTTTTTCTGGTAATAGCTGTTTTTTAAGAGATAAAAGATCTTCTGTGTTATTCTTGCTGCATTGTGTAAAATGTTATGTAATTGTTGGAAACTCTTTGTTGAGGAGCTTCCAGTGAGGCATATTTTCCCATCAGTTTATCTCCATGAAGGGCCTTATTGCACAATCCTGCAGGCATGAGTTAGATTGGGAAATAGCTTTATTTTTCTTTTCCTGTCCACTTGCCAACCCTTCCTCGTCGTATCTCACTAGTGTGTTTGTTTCTGCCCTGGGACAGGCTGAAGCTAATTCTGCCACTGAATGTTTTCACAGTTTTATGTATGCCTAAGTTGAATACAAGTGTGTTTGGTGCTAAGTGAATGTGGAGTTTTATGCTAAATAAACTGAATGTGGGGTTTGATGCTAATTGAGCTGATTGTGGGGTTTGATGCAAACTAAACCGAATGTGGGCTTTGTTGCTAACTGAACTAAATGTGGGGTTTGATGCTAAATAAACTGATTGTGGGGTTTGATGCTAAATAAACTGATTGTGGGGTTTGATGCTAAATAATCTGATTGTGGGGTTTGATGCTAACTGAGCTGAATGTGGGGTTTGATGCTAACTGAGCTGAATGTGGGGTTGATGCTAACTGAACTGAATGTGGGGTTGATGCTAACTGAACTGAATGTGGGGTTGATGCTAACTGAACTGAATGTGGGGTTTGATGCTAACTGAACTGAATGTGGGGTTGATGCTAACTGAATGTGGGGATTGATGGTAACTGGATTTGGGGTTTGAGGCTAATTGAAAGTGGAATATGATGCTATGCAACTGAATGTGGTGTTTGGAGGGGTTTGATGCTAAATAGTGTTTAATTGGGTTTGATGCTAACTGATTGTGGGGTTTGATGCTACTGAATGTAGAGTTGATGCTAACTGAATGTGGAGTTATACTGACTAAATGTTGGGTTTAATGCTTACTGAGTGTGGGGTTTGGAGGGGTTCGATGCTAAATAATGTTTGATAGGGTTTAATGCTAACTGACTGTAGGGTTTGATGGGGTTTGATGCTAACTGAGTGTATGGTTTGATGGGGTTAAATGCTAAGTTGATGCTAATTGAGTGTGGGGTTTGATACTAACTGAATATGGGGTTTGATGTTAGACATCTGTTCTTAGGGAACTGTCTCATTGCAAGTGAAGCTGAAGAACTTTCAAACTGGCAGTCAGGAGGTGTGTGTGTGTGTGTGTGTGTGTGTGTGTGTGTGTGTGTTGTCTGATTAAGTCTGTAGTCTATTCTCCAGAGGGGTCAGGGTAGCACACCTCACTTGACTTTATTAACTTAGGGCTGCAGTGAAGCTCTGATGGCTCTTCTCTTCAGCTGAACATAACTTCTTTTTTCTTTCTTTCCTTCTTTCTTTCTTTCTTTCTTGATCTCCTATCTTTCTTCCTATCTTTGTTTTTTTTCTTTATTTCTGTCTGTTTCTCTCCTTATCTCCCTTTCTCTCTCTCTCTCTCTCTCTCTCTCTCTCTCTCTCTCCATCTTTCCAGAGAGCAGCTCCAAAGCTTATGTTGTTGACATGTAGTTTAGTCCTTTACCTGCTGGTGTTTATATTTTAAAGGACTGAAGTGTCAGTGTCTGCCAGGAGGGACGCAAGTGCTTTATGTTTCTGTCTGACAAAGAGAAACGGACAAACAAACCCTCTCTACCTAATCACTCCGAAATCAGCATCATATGGCCTAAAAACGACTAAGATTTATTTTCCAATTAGATTTATTTTCTCATATAATCCCTCCCTCTGTTGCACCTGTTCATGCACAGCATGAAAGCGTAAGAGAGAAGAATCGTAAATATGTGAAGCATTTGGGCTCAGAATGTTTAGACTCACAGTACTTTTCTCTTTCTTTCTTTCTTTCTTTCTTTCTTTCTTTCTTTCTCTCTCTCTTGTTTCTCTCTCACTCCCTCTGTTTTCCTCCTTTTTCTCTCTCCCTGGCTCCGTGTCTGTCTGGCCGTCTGAGAGAGCAGTGTTTGAGATGGTTGGCAGCGTGCCAATTCTTCCCTCGCTCTGATGACATCATCAGCTGCCTGCAGGTCTGGATGTTCTGCCAGCATTCCGGAGCATTTATGATCGCTCGCAGATGTGTGTCCAGGAACATACTGTACCCAAATCCCAAAATTAATCAAACTTGAGCGCTCTCCAAGCCACTGCTCACTCTCTGAAAATGGCGTAAGCACCGGGGCGGGGGCGGGGAGGAGGGAAGGAGGCCTAAATAAACAAAACAAAAACAGAAAGCGTGTGTGTGGGGAAATTAAGACGGAAAGAGGGACAGCAGGCCTGCTGAGAATCACTCCTCTAGATGACTAGATGACAGAGGGGCTGCTTGAGTGCTCTGGCTGTTACAGCAGGATGTGATGGATCTGTGAGTGTGTGTATGTGTGTGAGTGTGTGTGTGTGTGTGTGTGTGTGTGTGTGTGTGTGTGTGTGTGTGTGTGTGTGTGCACGCTCGCATGTTCAGACTGTTAAATAGGAATGTCTAAGGGTGTGTCACTGTGTGCCCCATACCAGCTTCTCTCTGAGTGTGTAATATATCTCTTTCAGGTGAGGCTGTCGTGTACCTGTTGAAGTGCCTTCTGATAGCTTTCTCTATTAACCCTTAAAAGTCCAGAGTTATTGTTGTCAGTTTACTCTGCTGATTAAATGTAATTACAGTGAGAGGAAGCAAATATTTAGACACTTTTGTTTTTGTCATTTAGTATATATATATATATATATATATATATATATATATATATATATCAATACAGGAAAAAAATTCTCATGCACCTGGTGTCATTATAAAAGGTGTTGCTATTAGTTGGGAAAACACTGAAAGTAGCAGTCATGGTGAAGGTAAAGGAACTTCCTAAAGTTCTCAGAGACAACATTGTTAAAAGAAAACACTCAAATTGAAAAAAGCCATATTTGATAATAAACAAGTAGAAATTTCATTGAACCACAACTGAGCATCCCTGGACTGGAC